CTTACTCCCACAATGAAACAGAGATAATTAAAAAAACAACAATATGTTACAGTTAGAGTGTCTCCCGGTATTCTTCTGATAATGTGATCATCATCAAAGTGTTAATGCAACCTCCACGATTATTGACCACATCCCAATTAATCACGTCTCAGGCTTTACCTGAGCACACCTTGTATCTATTAACAATACATGTATTTATAATGATCAACAAAATATAATTTCTAAATTCCCCCACTTTTTCTCCATATAAATCTAACAATTGCACAAAATATTTTTCACAAACAGAAGCCCTCAATGATAGGCCATTGAAGAGACTGGGTAAAAAGTATTATTTCCTATGTAACTTGTAACACTAGTTTGATTAATTAACAAAAAAAGTGACATCACAATGGATTGTCTCTCTAAAGTAAAAAAAAAAATGAAATACATTAAGTAAAGTATATAAGAAAACAATCATCATAACTCCAAACCTCTATATAAGTATTATTATAATTTTAATAAAATTAATGGTAAATTTCTTTTTTACTTTCAAGCATTCTACTCTTACAAACATTGACTGTGGCTGGCTTCACGAATTGCACTCCAAACACCCTGAGGCCGAATCCTGTACACCTTGACTGAACCATGATAACTTAAGTCAAGAAGTGTTGAAAAAGTATGACCAATTGAATAAAGGTTTCATTTATTTAACAAATACAACTGTGCTTTACACTGAGGGTAATACATGTATTCCATACAGAAAATAATATATCTTTATAAAGTCTACTTATTAGCAATTAATTTTTATTGAAATCAGCCCAAAACTTTAGGAAAAGTTGCCTTTTAAAAAAAAATGGACTTGCAGGTGAAAAGTCCAGCCAGGGGGTACAAAAACTTGAGTTGTGGCTTTGATGGTGAAGACAATTTAAGGAGGGAGGAATGTAATAGTTTGGGCCATGGATGTTGGCCTGGGTATTGGGTACATCAGTTGGTAGAGCAGCTGACTAGTGATGCAGGGTCTCAGGGTTTGATTCCCAGTCCAGACATACATTTTCTCCTTTCCTATTACATAATTTTTACATAAAAACACAGAAGACGTAAACCAAAAGACACATTACCATTGCATGAGCTTTTCTGGTCTTCAACAAGTAGTGCTTATAAGTACACCACTAGGGTAATGATACACCCATCTGAAACTACATGAGGCATATCAGACTATCTATTTATGCATAATCATAGTCACAAGCTGTGACCCTGCAATTTGCAACAAATTATTGTAACATTCTCTAGATGTATAGAAAAACATAAAAGAGCTTTTTTATTTAATTTGTTATCAACTGAAAGATAAAAAGAAAGATAAAAACAGAATTCATGGTTTGGTGGTCCTAGGCTTCACAGTGCACATATGTTTAACTATATTTGTAATCTGTCTCTACACTGTACTTAATGTCAGTTTATGAGAATAAATTCATTGTCATTGTGTAAAAGATATGACCAGTTGGATATGATTTGACTATAAATAGCTATTAAATTACAAAATGAGTCACATTGACCCACTTCTGGGTCACGACACACCTTCCTCCCAAGGTTCACCAACTGACCAAGCTGATGGTTCTTGGTCTCACAGAGTTCAAGATATGACCTGTACATGAATTGACTATGCATAATCATGAAATTCCAAAATTAAGCTATGGTGACCTACTTTTGGGTTATGACCCACTTTACCCTAAGGAATCATCCACTGACAAAGTTTCATAATCCTAGACCCCTACCTGTGAAAAAATTATGACCCAGATATGAAAAACCTAACAGATGGACAGATGCACAGATGGGAAAGATCATAAAATAAAACAGCTAGTCCTGCCTATCAAAATGCAGTTGTACAAAAAACAGCATAACTTTATTGCATCCAAAAGAAAATCAAGAAATATAAAAGTCTCATTTATGGCACAAATAAATTATTTAAAACATGACTTTGATGATCATATATCATGTCCCCACTCTTCCCAAGAGGTCATGAGTGTGAGTCTACACTACCTGAAGATGCTTTCATACAAATACTGTTACAGTCAAACCTCCTTATCTCGAACTCAGTGGGACTGAGAAAAAACTTCGAGATATCAGAGAGTTCGAGATATCGAGTGTAAAATACTTAAGAAATATATGGTAAGGACTTCCCATTCACTTCCACATATCCATGGTATTTGAGATATCTGTGTTCGAGATACCAAAGTTCAACAGTATAATTAATCATGGCTTTCATGTTCTTGAAAAGAAGATTTTTAAAGTTTTTTCCTTTATATTCCTATGTAAAGAACATTATCTAATATAAAAGAAGATTTTTAAAAGAAGCCATTTAACTTTCACTGATTCTTAAGTATTAATTTCCTCTTGAAAGACGGCATGAGTCTTCATTTAAACAACTTCAATCCCCTTCACCTAAGGATGCTTTGTGGCAAGTTTGGTTGAAATTGGCCTAGTGGTTCTTGAAAGTCAAAAACATGAAAAGTTTAAGAAACATTTAGGAGCCTTTAGCTCAGGTGCACTAAAAAAACACATGCAAAACACTAGATATTGTATACTGCTAAATGATGGAGATTGATAAAAAAAAACATAGGTAATCAGAGATTACAGAGCTCACCTCAACGAATGTTGTCTTTAAGTAAGGCAAAGTCCCACACTAAACTAATAATCTAGGAGTGTGCATCCCTAGATGCAACATTTATGCAATTTTGGTCTGATAGGGCTTGCAGTTACTTGGGAATGGACTTATCTGAAAACTGAAAAACTAGTCACTCATTCAGAAAATGTAAGTCAAATCCAGCATCTGAAGCAAGTTTTGAGTTTGTTCATCCATGCAAGTTTGGTTCAGATAGGCCTTATAGTTACTTGGAAATGAGATCTGCTCCAAAAACTTTAATCTGGTCACTCATCCGGAAAATGTAGGTCAGATCCAGCATCCGAAGCAAGTCCAGTAGTGTGAATCCTTAGATGTATCATCCATGCAAGTTTGGTCAATACAGGGTTTATAGTTACTTGGATATGACATCTGCTTCAAAAACTTTAACCTGGTCACTCATCCGGAAAATATAGGTCAGATCCAGCATCCGAAGCAAGTCCAGTAGTGTGCATCCTTAAATGTATTATCCATGCAAGTTTGGTCAATATAGGGCTTATAGTTACTTGGAAATGAGATCTGCTCCAAAAACTTTAACCTGGTTACTCATCCGGAAAATGTAGGTCAGATCCAGCATCCGAAGCAAGTCCAGTAGTGTACATCCTTATATGTATCATCCATGCAAGTTTGGTCAATATAGGGCTTATAGATACTTGGAAATGACATCTGCTCCAAAAACTTTAACCTGGTCACTCATCCAGGAAATATAGGTCAGATTCAGCATCTGAAGCAAGTCCAGTAGTGTGCATCCTTAAATGTATCATCCATGCAAGTTTGGTCAATATAGGGCTTTTAGTTACTTGGAAATGAGATCTGCTCCAAAAACCTTAACCTGGTCACTCATCCGGAAAATATAGGTCAGATCCAGCATCCGAAGCAAGTCCAGTAGTGTGCATCCTTAGATGTATCATCCATTCAAGTTTGGTCAATATAGGGCTTATAGTTACTTGGAAATGAGATCTACTCCAAAAACCTTAACCAAGTCACTCATCTGGAAAATGTAGGTCAGATCCAGCATCCGAAGCAAGTTCAGTAGTGTGCATCCTTAGATGTATCATCCATGCAAGTTTGGTCAATATAGGGCTTATAGTTACTTGGAAATGAGACCTGCTCCAAAAACTTTAACCTGCTCCAAAAACTTTAACCTGCTCCAAAAACATTAACCTGGTCATTCTTTAGCTGAAATTGCAGGATCTGAAACCTTGACTGGTACAATGAAACACACTAGAAGCATCCTCCATGCATGTCTGACTAATATAGGCCATAGAAGTACTTGAAAAGAAAACTGCTCCAAAAACCTTAACCTGGGACGCCGACGCCGAGGGTATTACATAAGCTCCCCCAACTTCGTTGAGGTGAGCTAAAAACTGAATTGTACGCAAATGACTAGACAAAGTGTGTCAATGCCTAACACATTTCTCTACAGATTGGATCATATTACTCAATATTTCCAAACGATATTATTCTCTGACACACTAACACACTGACATATGTGTAATACCCTCTCCCACACACAAACAAAATGTCCTGGTGACACAGTCACTGATAAAGCATTTGAATCATAAATGTGTGTTAATTAAATAAGTCTTCATGTTTATCTCCCACATTGCCAGGTGTTAATGACGATAACTTTTATGAAGTCCATGTTATTAAATGTCCTTGCAACACAGTGACTTGTACATATATATTAAAAACCATGATAATTATCATGGTATTAATCAAGAATGTACTCTTAGTTATAACCCACAGTGCAAGGTGTTAATGACAATGACATACACAGTCTACTTGATATCTTTTTTTCTTTCTGACATGTTTAATTACACAAATCAAGAGCACTCATATGCACGTATGCAGGTCAATTTTTGTATAATTTTTTTTTTAAAAGATTTCTAATAACATTGCCAGACACTCAAATGTGACTTTTAAACTTAAATTTCTGTTGGAACCTTTCTTCAAGGTCATTGCATATGATCCCCTTCCCATCTGCATGCTGGACACAAGATTGGGTGAGAGAGAACAGAAAAAAAAGACAGACAATAAAACTCAAAAAGATAATGAATTTGCAGACTGATTACATGAAACCATTAGGTAGGGTCCCAATAAAATTGGTAACAAAAACTAAAGAGTCCTCTCTAGGCAATAATACAAATACAGTCAAACCTCGTTATCTCGAACTTGAAGGGACCGAGAAAATAATTCGTGATAATCGAGGATACGAGATATCCAGTGTAAAATACTTAAGGAATAAGTAGTTGGGACTTCAAAATGAATTTGACATATCCATGGTATTCGAGATATCCGTGTTTGAGATAACGAAGTTCAACTGTAATAAATAATATCTTACAGCAAATCCCTGACATATGTGATCTTTGATGGCCTGGAATGTATCTGGGTCTGGGTCAGTGTCCTGTAGGGTTTTCTGGGGAAGCCCACACCTACACTGGTTAACTGTTTCACTGTGGGGGTAGGGGAGGATGTTTATGGTCACTGAAGACTGGTCTGACTCATATCGCTGAAGATTGTCTCTCTGACTAGGAAAGTTAAAATTTTGATCATTACATAGGTCTTATGGTAAATGTGCATGGTACATTTCATTTAGTGCTTGGGGAAAAAAGACAGACATCATAAATTTAAGTTGGAACCATGTTAAAGAAAGAAGCAACTAGTACATGTATTTTTACCACTAGTCAGAATTTGTTAAAATGTAAACAAATCAATATCAGTAGGATTAACATTTTTTTTTTACAAACATTACTAACTAAACTTAATGAGACAAATGCCAATGACCAATCCCAATTCTATATTTAATAGTTTTCATAGATAAGACCTAGTAGATAACAATTCTAACCAACATAACTAGGGATGTCAACGAATAGTCGACTATTAGACCATCAGTCGAATGGACCGACGATCGAATAATGAAACGACATTCGAATATTATTATAATTAAACAAGCTTATCCTTTAAAAAGCATAATAAAATACAGAAGAAGATATCCCAACCATTTGTTAAATTTGCTGAATCGATTAATTATTAATAGGAAGGCAGATTGGTGGTTGAGTTTGGGGGGGGGGTCACAATTCAGAATGGTGGATCTAAGAGTGTGCTTCACGTCGGCAATGGCACAACTCCTAACTGTGCTTTAAGCATTCTGTATTTTACTGTGAAAAATAAAAGGTCAGTAGAACCAATGAGCACCTTCTGGCCTTTCCGGCAAGCTCGGAAAACATATCCAAGGTTGCCGCTGTTTTTCGAGCTTGCCGGAAAGATCTATGAAGGTAGATTAGAAAAGCTATGTATTCATTACAACTTTAGAAATAACAGTCTTGGTTTTATAAACCCGAGTTACTGTTACTTTTTGTTCATTTACGTGCAGGTTAGACAACAGAACACGAAACTTCAGATCATATGTATTTTCAGATGATAAACACTAAATTGCCATGTCTTTCCGACATACTCTGAAAAAGATTTTTGTTTTTGTTGTTGTTTTTTCCGAGCTTGCCGGAATTATCCACTAAGATGGTAAAACTGTAAGGAAAGCTAGATGTCTAGAATCTTGGCATTATATGGCCAAATTTTTTCTTGTACTTTTATGTGTAGGTTAGACAATAAATTAAAAAAGAATTGAGAATCCGGATCTAGACTGGTATTGTTTGTCTCTAACGTAAGAAATGTATATCGTGCATATCAGACAGGAAAGGCCAGTGTAAATTCGGATCATTTCTATTTTTGTATGACAAAACAAAATTGTTATCGTACAGTCTATCTACAGTAGTTTTCCCAGAATGACGGTGAAGTCGAGCATGCGTATTTCAGAAATATAGACTAACCCTCTCAAGCGCTAGCAATAAATGCAATAAATGAGTAATATCAAAATGGAATTCTCATCACAAAAGTGAGAAAATGTCTTTCCTCAGAGACAGGCGATAAGATAATTTTTCTAAACAAAAAAGCAGTTGATTTTCCCTGTACGTATAGAAATACTGTTATGTACTTATAAGTGCTTCACTAATGCGAGAAGTATTTGCCAGTAACGGCCTGTGTTGTTTTTGTAATAAATTACTAATATACTGGGCTTTGTTTGTAAGAATATTATATGGACGTATACCATGTACCAATTATCTTTTGTTATCTTAAGATTGCTCAAATGCAAGGAATAAACCATAGCTGTGACATGTTTTGACACTTCGATAATTATTACAATTATTATTAAAACAATTCGCTTACATTTTAAACTGTTTAAGGACATTTTGATAGCCAGAGCAATGAATAATTGAATAAGCAGTATCTAACTGTTTAACAATTTCATAGGCACCTGACGTGTAAAAAGTGTGAGGTTAAACCCCCCCCCCCATTTATTTCAAAATAAGCTTTAAAAAATATTGGCTGTCAATTTTTTAATGCTTACTAAAATAAAAACTGACTGCATGACTGTACAGACCGATTACTGATTTCTGCTGAAATCATACATTTTGGAGAATTAGGTTTCTAAATTTATTTCATATAATCATGCTATCCACGCGATACGTTGTATTACTTTTGATGGTACTTTTTAGATATATTTAAGTAAAAGGGTTTTTGAGTTATAAATATGTCATGTAGCAGTGAAGTTTGAAAATATTTTTTTTCAGAAAATGTTCCGAATATTCGACTATCGTTCGAATAATGCAATCGAATAATCGACTAAGGAAAATAAATATTTTGACATCCCTAAACATAACAAAACTTCCCCATGCCTTAGGACATATATACATATTTATTTAAGCATTGAATGATCATTTTTTTGGTATATATATGTACAAACTAAACAACAAACATAATAGTGACTGAAAATTTGTATGCACACCTAATGTGAATTATTGCACAGCATGATGCAAAAAATTACACAATACATGTAATGACCCAAATCTTTCCTGATTAACTCTCAAACAAAATGGATGTATGAAACATCATTCATAACCAAATCAATTGAATTAATGATCAATTACAAATGAATGCTTAAATACCAAACCATTTGTCCATCAAGAAAAACCAATTAAACTTCAGTGCAGTTTATGACAATTTTGGTTAAAATTATTACTTTAGGTGCTTATAGACTGAAGTAACAAGAAGGTAAGGAACCTACCTGTATACCTGTAACCTACCTGTATACCTGTAACCTACCTGTATACCTGTAACCTACCTGTATACCTGTAACTTAATGTGTAGAAGTAGTTCCTAACAAAGACTTCCACATTACCTTTTTCTGAACACATATTCCAAGTAAGATGCTGGCATTCTGTGGACGTAGTCTGTGATGTACTTTGTGTCGTACACACCACCAGGAAATATTTCGGTCAGGTCTGCGATAAATGATGACATGGTGGCTGGAAGGTTGGCGTAAAAATTTTGATACAGGTACACGAGATCTGTCAGGGCATTGTGAAATACCACTGGTTTACTGCTCCTTACTATATTTGTAAAGAGGGACCTTAAACTTATGTTATCAGATGGAGATTCCACCTATAAGTAAAAATAGTAATGCTATTCTCTCATTCATCAGATAGTTAATATTCCATATATGATAGCATTATTTCAAAATGGTACATGTATTTTTATAAAATGATCTATGTGTGCTCAAATGTAGACATAAATTTGTAATCTCAGCACTTTGGGGATATGAAGAAAAGAGAAATAACTGCAGAGTGAGTGTCCCTATAGTATTGAATGAAATGGGTTCTTACAAGAAAAGAAAGACAACTCTAATTCCAACATTTTAGGAAAGGGGATCTTAGATCTTTTCATGTATTAACAAAGTTATTCTTTTGTTTTGTTTGTTTTGTTTTTTTTTTAATGAGCTTGTTTTATTCTTTTATATTCTTTTACTTTATTATTTTATAATTTTTTTTTCTGGACTCTGAAACAAAATTGAATTTAATTCATTTCTTCAAGAAAACTATGAAACACACCTTGTCATTGCCCCTGTAGTACCCAACACCACAGGAATACTGCTTGTTAAAGTCAAATCCATGTTCTACTAGAAATCTGAGTGATGCTGGCTCCACAATGTATTCCTCCTGACACAGGGCCATGATATTGTAGGTCTGCACTAAGAAATTCCACACATGACAACTCTCGGAGCCATCATCCACTGAGGAATCATCTGACATGTCACTAGTGTGTTTTCTAGGCTTTGTGTCAACATGTGTCAGCTGGAAACATGATAGGCCAAGGGAGACAACTGAACGTGATTTGGCATTATCTGCTGTTCCTTTGTATCGATCTTCAACAGACCTGTGAAAAAAAAGTTGGCTGTATTTTCTATCATACAGCTGATGTATTTATCACAGTGGTACTCATAATCCATAATTTTAATATTTTATGTTGGCACAGACTATACATAATTACATTATTCACTTACTTAGCCATGAGAGTTTTCCTGGTTCCTATGCCACTTAATTCCTACAAATTAAAGGATAAATCATAAATACGAAGTAATAACCGAATTTTCTAAATTCTCCTTTATGAATTGCATTATCTTAAACATTTCTTTTCATTATAGACTTCCTCTTCATCTTACTGTGTCTATAGCAATAAATGTGGCTGACTCTACTGCTTTCATCAATGATGGCCAGAGATGATGGAGGTTATTAATATTCACATCCAGGACTGGAATGGACTCAAAGCGGACTGCCATCTTGTCAACGGAACCTGTAAAATTTCACATAATGTTCATCCCTTCACTTTTCAGGCCAAATAGCTAGATCCAATCTCCTTTGCAGAGTTGTCGTAAGTTCCTCTCTCAGACACCTCTGCAATGGGCTCGCATCAAGATTTTTGACATAAAGTAAAAACATGATATTCCAAGGATCATTTCAAATTAAACTAATAGTTCTAGATCTATTTAGTAAATATCTGTCTTAAAGGACAAATATTAGCCCAGACATTTAATTATAATGTGTTAAAACAAACGCACTATTTCTCATGCTTATCACCTTGATATATGAAAGCCAACAACAGAGGTGAATGTATGAGCCGATGGTAGAGAGTGAGCTAGATCAAGACCTCTTGACAGTAGGATTCATGCCTGTTTCTCATTTTTCACTTTTATAAGTTGAGTGATAAAATTGTTGACTCCTGTGATTTGTCTCACAGGTACTTGGGTCTTGGTTTATAAATATGTATGTACCTTATTGATATGTAAAAAAAAAAATACATATCAATAAGGTACATACATATTTATAAACCAAGACCCAAGTACCTCTGATTTGTCTAATTAAGAAACCTGTGTAAACAGCTGTTAAAACCGAGACTGATACCTTCACTAAGAAGTACTGTCCGCTCCTCTCTTCTTTTCTTCTGCACAACATGAACTTAAAACCTAAGCTGACAAGGCATCAAGCAATAAACAAACTTTTTTGTTTACGTTTCATCTGTGTAAAAATTTTTTTTTTAAATATCAGAGCTCAAAAATATGATGAGATGTGGTTGCCCGGTTTGTCAGTGATCATCAAATACAGTCTGTCCGTGGTCATCAAATACAGAGGTATGGCCAAATCGTAAAAGAAAATCTTCAAGTTTTTTTTCAGCATCCAAAAACAAGTTTAATGAGAACCAGTTTACCATGCGTTTTGAAATTTTGGTAGATCGTACCATGTTAAAGAAGTTAAACTTTTTTTGTTATTATTGCATAATTCATAAATTGCAATTTGAATCAAAAAGGTTATTCTAATAATCATGATTGATATAAAAAGTTAAATGAAAGTGTTAGTCTATACTATATGTACATTTTGATTATGGCGAATAGTCTGAAGAATGGTTTATCTAATTAACAAAATGGCCCCTAAAACGAAAAAGATGAAAGTGGAAAACGTGGAAGAAGAAAACCAAGACGATGTCTCTGAACCTGTACAAACAATTCCTAAACCAAATATTTCGCGTATAAAGAATAAAATACTTCGAAATGAAATGTACAAAAAACTCAAATTTGAGAAAAGGAAGGTAAATTATGGCATTTTATAAATAGAACCAATCATTGTTATGACAGTGCCTGATATGCAAGTGTAATGAAATCTTATTCTTAGCAAGATTTGGTTAGTCTGTGATTTGTGGATGGGCGTGTAAGCCGAAAAATTCCAAAACGTAAGATGAATGGCAGTGTTTCACTAGATATCCCTTTAACATATAGCAGGAGGAGCCTTCCTCCAAGACTGAAAAATATTAATTAAAAATTATTTTCATTTTTGGTTAGCATGATTGGTAGTAATGTTTACCTAATATGTTGACGGTGCAACCGTTGGGGCGAGCTCTTTGTTCACTTCATTTTAAGATCCACCTCTTCAAACCGCACGAGACATTTGGAACGTCTAAACTGTGACTTCACATGACGTCGTATGTTAGCTGCATTTCCATAGTTTAAAAAGTGCAAATATTTTAACAAAGAACATTTAATTTACTATCTGCATGCAATAGCCATTAAATTAAGGTGAGTTTATTTTTTGTGAAATTTTAGTTGTTGTCACCGCGTGAATGAAGTTAGCAGCGAGAACAAGAAGCGATGCATTGTGGGTCAGAATTACTGCGGAAAAAAATTCTATTGAATGAATGTGCAGTAGTCCGAATTTTTTCTTCGCCCAGGCGTTGTCGTTAGAGCTCGCAGTGACGAGCGGCGCTTTGCGCTGCTCGCTGCGCTCGCGTTAAATAGTATGTTGATGGTGTGACCATTAGGGCGAGCACAGATACCTTTTCAGTTTTAATTTAGTTCAGGCTCTTCAAACCGCACATGACATTTGGTACGTCTGGACTCTGATGTCACATAACATCGTATGTATAAGTTGTATTACCAAAACAGCGACTGAACAGTGCTTATTTTGATAAAGAACGTTTATCTACTATTTATCTGCTATATATTCATTAAATCAAGGTGAGTTTATATTATTTTTTTGGGGGGGGGGACTTCTGGGTACCACGAGAACGTAGTCTGCGGCGAGATACAATTCACAAAGCATTATGGGACTACAGTTACTGTGGAAAAAAAATTATTTGGATCAATCTGCAAAGTCCGAATTTTCTTTTCGCCCAGGTTTTGCTTTTAGAGCTCACAGTGACTAGCGGAGCTTCGCAACGCTCGCTGTGCTCACTATTAAAATAAGTAATATTTAGGGGTCATTTACAAATAAATCAACCCAAGTACCACTGATCAGGAAAAGATTTAGAGTAACTTTTGTGAAACCTTCCTTTATACTGAGTGTAGATTCAATTTTGTCCAAATCATGGCCCCTGGTGTAGGTAGGTTGAGACGGAAATTGTGAGGTGGGGGAGGGTCAAAGTTTACTTGTGAATATATAGGGAAAAAATTGAATCTCAATAATGACAGGGTTGTAATGAGTCATTTTGATATACAAGCATCCTCATTAGTTAGATTCAAGTTTGATCATAAGATTACCCTCAAGATTAGGGTGGGGCCACAAAAGAGGGTCAGTATTTTACATAATATATAATATTTGAAAAACATGAGCCTTAGATGCCTTTTCAGACTCATTTATTTTTTTAAAAACAAATTATAATAGATTTCTCAGAATGATTGTTTAGGACCATGATAATGATGTATGAAAATATAAATTATTGTGAGAGGGACAACAATGTTTTATATTCCAAAGTTAAAAGTGATTTCAAGCCCTTATTTTTCTCATTGAGTATACATAACTTTATTGTAAATTTATTTTATAGGCTAAACTGAAAGAGAAACAGAGAAAGAAAAAAGAGGCAGAGGATAATGGAGAAGAGGTACTACATCATTAGATTCTTTTAATTTGAGTGTAGAAGTGAGACCATCTTACAAGGAGTGGACTTTTTTTGTGTATTAAATCAAGCAATACCAAATACTTCTATTTTTTTTTTTTTTTTTTTTTTTTTTTGGTTTTTTAATTTTATATTAAGATATACTTTATTTGATAGACTAAGAATTATTAGAAATTAATTATTATGAGTACTATGAATATTTATAGCGGAACTTTTTTTCATTCTATAAGCAAAATATTAAATGAGATTCTTGTGTTAAATACATTGCGTGTAATAATTTTTAAGGCTGCACCAAAGCAAGTACCCAAAACAATAGAGAGCATGAGAGTAAAGGATGAAACAATGGTTGACCCTGAGGATGAAGAGGTGAGGGGTTAAATCTGGTTCAAATTTGTCATACTTTTTAATTACATTTAAACATGTATATCAGAAACTTATTTTTAATCTTTGTCATAATAAAGAGCTCATGGATTGGTAAAATTCATACATAATTTACTATTAAATGTTTGTCACTGTAACTTTACCCCCAGGTTATCATGGATGAAGCCCAGGATGAAATGGCAACATATTTCAACAGAGAAACATCCCCTAAGATTTTAATAACCACCTGTGATAGACCATGTCTTGTAAGTATATTTTCTAAATATTAATAACCTAGTTTTATGGAGAAAATAAAGCAACACAAATACAAGTTTGAATTTTTTTACTATGAATTTGTAATTTTATTCTTTTCAGAGGACAAATAAATTTTGTAAGGAACTGAAATTAACAATTCCAAATTCTGAAATTAAGTATAGAAGAGGTTTGGATCTAAAGAAGGTTATTCCACAAGCCATTGAAAGGGACTTTACAGACATTCTTATTGTGAATGAAGACAGAAAAGAGCCCAGTATCCTTCTTCAAAAATATAAAGATACTTAAAAAAAAAAAGAAACAAGTCTTGATTCCAAGTTTTGTTTTTTGTTTTTTTTTGTTTTGTTTTCATAGCTGTAGATTATTTATATCGGCTTTTTAAATTTTATATAATAGTTTCACTGCATAAATTGTTAGTTTTTTTCTGTCAGTTGTGTAGAAATTAGTTGTCTCCCTTAGATTCTTTAACACATTGTGAGATGGTTTAGTAATAACTCACCTTCCAGAGGGCCCCACACTTCACTTCAAGCTCAGCAGTGTTAGGCTTACCACAGAAATTAAGGTACAGAAAATTTCTCAATCTTGAATTTATTTTTTTCCTTGCATTTTATTGCCTCATGTTCTTTTAGTTTCATGACCGATATTTTTGATTACAGACTAGTTCTGATATCTGGTTTGGGATAAGAAATCAGTTTTCATTCATTGAGAGATAAAGTTTGTACACATACATGTAATATCTATCATGCCTATTCCAGACAATCAGGAAAATTATGTTTAATATATAGCTATAAATCTGAATCAAACTTTGAATTACAATTTAAAAATGCTCAAGTATTTGATTTGCAGACATAGCATGAACTGATTTATATGATTTGATACCACATATGTGGAGTGAATATAAAGTCTGTTGGTTTCATTTATATAATATACTCATGTATATTTTTTCATTTTCAAGAGAGTTGGAGAAATGAGTAAACATAAACCAGAACTGATCCTAAATAATTTCAACACACGACTTGGTCACTCAGTAGGGAGGGTATTTGCCTCCTTATTTCCTCACGACCCACAATTCCATGGACGACGTGTGGTTACTCTTCATAACCAAAGGGACTTCATTTTCTTCAGACACCACAGGTTTGTTTGAATATGAATTTTAAGTAAAGTTTAATATTTTAGTAATAGAGTGAAAACCAGTTGTCATATCTATAAAACATTAAGCTATTTACTACATTTCACCATTGTTATCTATGCTTTGTTTCACAGATATGTGTTTAGAAATAATAAAAAGGTTGGATTAAAGGAGCTGGGACCAAGATTTACATTGAAGTTACGATCATTACAGAAGGGAACTTTTGATTCAAAGTTTGGAGAGTATGAATGGGTTCATAAGGTAAGTAATGGTTATCTGTAGGAAATTAAAGAGAGGAATATTAACTGGGCATTTTTTTTTAGGAAATTAAAGCAAGGAATTTTAACTGTGCATTTTTTTTTTAAGGAAATTAAAGCAAGGAATTTTAACTGTGCATTTTTTATACTTTCAGTGTTTAATTTTTTTTTACATATAGTGTTTATTTTTTAATACTAAAATGTTTAATTTTTTAATATTTAAGGTGTTTACTTATTTAATACTTACGATTCTCAATTTTCAATCACAGGTACTTGTGGACAGGACCCCCCCCCCCCCCCTCCAATATGCCCCACATGTCAAAAAATATTTTTATGTATTTTTTTCATAAATTATTCTTTTAGTACACATTTACAATGTATTCCATAAGAAAAATCCAAAAAATAACGCAGAATTAACGTTTTACTAAAAAATCATACCCGCGGTATTATAAAATAGAGAAGGTAAGTCACTTCCATTTGTTTACACTGGACCCCTCTTGGATATCAGGCCCGAAATATCATTTACCTAATACATGTCACCGAAATGTGTCATGATATCTTGTTTCGGTAGATATTTTTGTTTTTAATCGTGCTATTTAATTGCCCAGGCATCCCATAATAATCCGAGTATTCATCGTCAAACGTGAAAAATGCTACAAGATTTGGAAATGTCAGAGTAGAAATTACGGAAGTGATGCAAAAACGACACCTAGCGTGTAACTCTCGAGTTCCGAGTGTTATAGAACTAAGGGAAAAGTCAGAGGTCTACGAAAAAGTTCGGGAAAATTTTGATAAAGAAGTCGAAATTGATTCATTAGAATTAAATTCTGCTTAAGATTTTCGAGAAGAGCGAGGGTAGTCGTCAATATTCCCTTTAAAGGATGTTATAATTGATAACGTTTATAATGTTTAAGCGATTTTTAAACCGATGTTATCAATGATAACATCCTTTAAAGGGAATATTGACGACTACCCTCGCTCTTCTCGAAAATCTTAAGCAGAATTTAATTCTAATGAATCAATTTCGACTTCTTTATCAAAATTTTCCCGAACTTTTTCGTAGACCTCTGACTTTTCCCTTAGTTCTATAACACTCGGAACTTGAGAGTTACACGCTAGGTGTCATTTTTGCATCACTTCCGTAATTTCTACTCTGACATTTCCAAATCTTGTAGCATTTTTCACGTTTGACGATGAATACTCGGATTATTATGGGATGCCTGGGCAATTAAATAGCACGATTAAAAACAAAAATATCTACCGAAACAAGATATCATGACACATTTCGGTGACATGTATTAGGTAAATGATATTTCGGGCCTGATATCCAAGAGGGGTCCAGTGTAAACAAATGGAAGTGACTCACCTTCTCTATTTTATAATACCGCGGGTATGATTTTTTAGTAAAACGTTAATTCTGCGTTATTTTTTGGATTTTTCTTATGGAATACATTGTAAATGTGTACTAGAAGAATAATTTATGAAAAAAATACATAAAAATATTTTTTGACATGTGGGGCATATTGGAAGGGGGGGGGGGGGGGGGTCCTGTCCACAAGTACCTGTGTTTTCAATATAATGTTAACCAGTGATTTCTTTTAATACTTACAGTGTTTATTTTTTTGATACTTAACACTTGATACTGATTCTGTGTTTTATTTTTTTTTAAATACTTATGATTTTTAATTTGATTTCAGAGGAAAGAAATGGACACAAGCAGAAGGAAGTTTTCTTTATAAATTGGTTGTTAATATTTTGTTCTTTATACAAAAAAAGTCAAATGTTGTATTGTTTCTGATATATCATAAATAGACACACAGAACAGGTAGTGTTTATTCTGTTCAAGTTGTCAAACAGAAAACAAGCAATTCAGCAGCACATTTCCTTGTTAGGTTATAACATTATGTCTAGAAGTGAACAAATAGGGTGGCAACTAAAAGGATCACATAGCTGTATTCAGGATGAGAGCCCCCATTATTACTCCCCATTCCTCCTGTATGGGGCCTCTGTTGTGTTTGACTGTCAATTTTGCCAAGTCCATTTTTATCCAATGGTTTGGATTCATTGTCTGGAGAGCTACTTCCTGATCTGTCAATGGTAGTGGTGGATCTAAGAGGGTTGGTGGTGGATCTAAGAGGGGTGGTGGTTCTAAGAGGGGTGGTGGTGGATCTAAGAGAGGTGGTGGTTGTGGTTTTCCTTGGCTTCTTTGTTCCTATATATATCAAAGATACATGTATACCATTTGAAACAGATGAACACATTACTAATCAGATTATGTGTGTGATACTGATTTACTGGATTTTGTTTTCATTTTTATGATCTTACGCCAAACTGAATTATTAGTTTTGAATTCCTATCCCCACACAGTCCTCTCAAAGTGTTCCACCCTGATGCAAAATGTGTTTTAATAAACAAATGTTTTGATTAAAAACAACTTTGTAACATAATTTATTTGGAGATATTGTGAATTTCTAATAGATACTTTTAAGTTTTATTTTATTTTATTTTTTGAGTTAAAAAAAATGCAATTTAAACACATATATGTAGTGTTTCTCCTTGAAAATGCTTATTTACCAATTTTGTTGAAAACTTAACTCTGCATGCAATAGATTGGCTTTTTTATAAAAAAAAAAAAAAAAAAAGAAGAAAATCTACGAGTCATTTTTGTACAACCTAGAAGAAATACTTAAATTTCCTACATATTAAACTGAAATTTTATTGCCTTTTTACCCCCCCCCCCCTTTCTTTTTCCACGAAAAACAATGTTTTGTGTTAGACAAAATAACGATTGGAGAGGAAATTCTTTCATAATGTAAGGACCATTTAATTTTTAGAAATATATACAATACAACAATCATTTCTTGATATTATGTAAACCAACCACGACTTTTAATGCATTTTAGATATGATTTAAAATCCTATGTGTTTTGATATGCCCCCTTTTTACTACAAGGCTACCCCCACTTTTCTTTTCTATTTTGAGTCGGCTCGCAGAGCGACTCAAAGGTATCACAGCTGTAAGTGTAAAAATTATCACCCATTCATCTAGGTGATTCATACACCAAATAAGATAGTTCTAGCAAAAATGCTTTTGTTAGAGTGATTGCTTAAACTTAAGAGGTATAAACAGTATAAAATTTCATATTGGAACATTATTTATGTATGTCTTCAGTTTTTTTAAAGAAAAATTCGATTAAATATCTGTACAATGCAAGTACAAATACTGCATATGAATATACTAGTATGTGCAAGCATGTTAGGCAGATCTAATCTTCCCATTTTAAGTTTATTTATCATTGACCTAGAATACTCCCTAACACACACACCTGCTGTTCTCATTCACTGCAGCTAGTGTGCCTGAAAAATCTATTTTTAGAATCCAGGTTTGTAGTGTGAATCATTGACCTAATTACTTTATAACACAGACCACTGCAGCTAGTGTGCTTAACTTATTTTTAGAATCCAGGTTTGCAGTGCTGCTTTCCACAATGCTATATTAAATTATTATATGTTACTTAACATAAACATAATCATGCTTAATTAAAGTAAAATTGTGTGAATGCATGTATATAGTTAGGCGGATCTTGAAAAAAAATTTCCCATAGATATCTAATGTTTGTTTTCCATTACTGGAGGTTGTTTTTTAAGTGATTTATCTTACGTTTAAATGTTAATTTTTTTCCATGATACTTTTTCTCCCTTTTTAACATGATTTTCCCTTTTCCCCTTGTTTTTATTTCACTTTATTGTATTTTTTTTCTTAATAGAACACTGAGATCTAGTAAGATTTATGATAATTATAATTAAAAAATACTGAAGAGAAGTTTTTAAAGAACTCATTTGACTTAAAAAGGTGGGAGTTATTAAAACCCTTAACCCTTATTTACTTTGGGGGGGGGGGGGTGTAAATTGAGACCCGTTCAAATTTAAACAGTTGTATTTGGATTTCTATTCAAAATGTTGTTATTTTTGTCACATTATGTAATCTTATTTGTGTATTTACAAACCCAAGCTTTAAATAAATTTAAAAAATCTCATGTGAGATGGGATTGAAGCCCTCAATTTTTTAACCAATCATGGAGACCTGACATTCAATTTTTTAAGATGCAATAAAAACTGAATATAAGGCATGGTGACATTTTGTATGAAAAAGCTCAATAAACTCGAGCGAGTCGACTCTCAGGCCCTTCGGGCCTTTGATTTAAATGAGGAATGGATATTGCATAATAAATGTGAGAAGCAATATATTTCACTATTTATTTATTTTTTTTTTTAATTTATCAATTCCATTGTTTTTACAGCATACAGTTGTGTGTAAAACCACGATAAATTGTCCATATTTTGAAATTGCCCCCATTCCACTACAATCAAGGCAAAGAACAAAATTTCAGTCTAATTTTTCTTAGCAAGGTACAAACAAATATACGTCAATAGTTCAAAAATACTTGCCAGTCTGTTTTCGTAATTTCAACTAGATTGGGCCTCGTTAAATGATCATTACATAGGTATTTCAAAGAATATAAAATAAAATCATCCCACAGGCTCAATGTTTTTATTTAGCAATGGACGAGAACCTGAAAATTAAGTTTATGTGGCCAAATTGCCAATCGTTGAGGTGATTTTTTTTTATCTTTTTTTTTTTTTTGATTGCAAGAAGGTTTACAGCAAGGCCAACTTTAGTTTGTTTTATGTACTCTGATCGAAAACTTTTATAAAATAATTAGAAACTTTCTGAATGCCACTTGATGATTTTTTGTTAAGGCTTACTTTTTGTTCGAACTGCTGGTGTTGTGGTAGGACAAGCTCTCTGTACCACATCCTTACAGACCCCTGTAGAACCACCTGAAATATAATTAATCTTCTTGTATACAACCAAATAACAAATCGTTGAACAATAAATGATGTTACAATGCCCTCGGTTTGCTGTGACAAGAAAACATTACCTATTTATGGATATATTCATTATATTGACAATACATCACAAATAATGAAAAAATGAACTTATACCTAGCGGTTCTTTGCTTTTTACTCCAAGATCACAAGCTGTATTTATTATGTTAGTGTAGTCTTCGTAGTTTTGTTCTTTGTATCTCATAGAATAGAAACTGGACAGGAAGACCACAAACTTGTTCCCAACTGATATCTCGCTCACAAAGCACAAGCCACCCTCTTCTTCCTCTGCAAAGAAACACAACTTGTACAAATAGATGTGTTCGACTTTGATTCTATTTGATTCTAAAAAAAGCTCTTCTGTAAAATTGATTTTCAAACTTACCCACCCCAGTGATATTAAGAGAGACTGGAATATCTGCCCCACTGTCTTTGAGAACACAGTTTACCTCTATTGAATAAACCCCGTCGCGTACCTTGGATTGGATAGTACCGGCAACTATGACGTCAGAGTAATGGGTCTTATCGTTAAGATTTACCGTTCCTGGGTTAGAGCAGCTCGAGACTCCACCAATCAGAATGAGCAGAAGAATCACATGTTGAAAACGATGCCGTGTCATGGTTCTCTCATGCACTAAAAATTCAAATTTCTTGGTTACAAGAAATGTTTTAGTTTATTCTAAAAAAAAAAAAAGGGGGGGGGGGGACTCTGTTGCAGATTTTCAAGATTCCAACGTTTTTCAAGAATGTGATAATGATCTTAAAAAAAATTAGTAAACAGGTTTCCGTTTGCAATCTAACTCTGATTATTAGTTTTTAGAGCTGCTAGGGAAAAAAATCCACTAGCATTCTGGACAAAAGATTTCAACCTTGGACATCGTTGCCAACAACATTTAGACTTCCAAAATATCTTCACAATAATTTCCGATTTGATTTTCGGGCATAAAAATTGACAGTCAAATTGACGGAGTCAACTATATTTCATTGAAATACTAGTAGATTATCACCCATACTAGGCACAGTTAATATTTAGTCACATGATAAATAATTGTACATGTTTTGTATGCAGCTTTATTTTCCATGACATTTTTTTCTATTTTTATTTCATTTATTTATGTATTTATTTTTTATTTATTTATTTGGATATTTTCTTCGTGGAATTATTTAATTAAATTCTAGTTTAAAAGTTAGATAAATAAGTATAGGAATACAAACCGCGAATTAAAGACAATAGAAATACAGATTTTTGCATTAAAAAAGCAAAAATAACCAAGTACGAAATCAAATATTCTTTAAGTACTCATTAATTTATTACTTTAATGAAAAGACATATCACATACTTTATTAAGAATCCAAGAGCATCACTGAGTGCAAATTCTTCCATGAAAATAGAAATGCTATTAATTCAGCTGTATATCCAAATAATAAATAAACAAATACCATGTACCTTTCTCCTAAAAAAGCACCTTGGTCACTCCAATTCTAGGATACAAAACGTGTTCTCCACAATGCGATAAGAGCCTATTTCTCATTGCTGTCAGTCTTTTGTTCTCGCATCTATGAATTTATATTTTGTCTTTATATAAAGTATTTAAAGTTGTCTCCCTTCATGTGGAGGTCGCCAGAAGCTTTATCGAGTATTAGTTTGTTAAGGACTTATAACGGGTGCTAAGTAAATTCTTTTGTGGAGCAGTAGATTAATGACTACATTAACGATAGCTAAAGGCGTTCTTTATTGCCTCAGGGTTAATCTTACTGAAACTCTTGGGCAGTAATTAATCAACAGGACAGATTCCGGTAATCGCGGGTACGTCCAGGATTAACAATGAACTAGTACCGGGTGTATTTTTGGGAATGCATATATCTTTTTCTATACATTGTGTTATTGACACATCTTTGATAATGGTGCCAATTCTATACAACAAAGGTATATAAGCACCGGGACAGGCTACATCGACGTGGGAAATCCACAGATGCTTGAGGACAGGACCCCCCACCCACCCTCTCCCGATATAGATCCTCGAGTCTTTTCGATTTTTTTTTCATATATTATCTTTCAAAGACACATTTGTGATTTAATCAATAAAATTAATTCGAAAATTTACCTAAAACAAACATGTTATAAAAATTTCTATCCCTGTGTATGTAGATTTTTATATACAGCGCATCTATGGATGTGCTTTAGATGCTGGATCTGACCTACATTTTCTGGATGAGTTACCAGGGTAAGTTTTCATATAGTAGGTCCATTCCCAAGTAACTGTATATGTCATTTGATAACCAAACTTACAGGAATAAAGGAGGGATACTCTTAGGCCCTGCACTTCACTTGCACCTATTTACATACGGTGAGCAAATTTTACTAATATGCAAATTTTGCACCGGAGTGTATTTTGGCGCATGTGAACGAGGGTACGCAAGATTTGCACGTATTTTTACTCCTAGTGCAAAAAACTAGGTGCAAATTAACTTTTTAAGTAAATTTACTCCTGATGTATTTTCAGTCATGTGAACTAGAAAGCCCAAACAAGTATTTACATACTACACCTGTACTTTGCAGGCGCGGATCCAGAATTTTTTTCGGGGGGGGGGGGGGGTCCACCCCAGTCCAAAAAAAAAATCCGAGAAATTTCTTGACAAAAAAAAACAAACAAGCAAACAAAAAACGGAAACTTTCCAAAACCCGAAAAACCTTTTTCGTTGGGGGGGGGGGGGGGTTCTAGGGGGTCCACGTTTTCGAGGGAGGGGGGTCGAAGGTCAGTTTTAGTTGGTTTAGTATATACATTTAATAGCTCTGCAAATTCCAGGGGGGAGTCCGGACCCCCCCCCCTCTAGATCTGCGCATGAGACCAGATGCCTAGGAGGAGTAAGCGTCAAACATCGATTCAACTAATGCGTGTATGACTCTCCATTTATAAGTGGACTTAGATGTTTTTCGAAGGAAACCCAAAGAAAATTATATTATCTTGCAGACAGTTGTGTGATTGGATTCTTTAGATTGATATGTTGTACATGATCCCTTTGTATACAATTTATGTGCTCCACAACCTGTATTAAAAAATAAATTCTTACATTATTGTATAAATTATAACACCATTTTAACATTTTCATTGATTTTTTTCATACATATAATATATTATATGTATCATAATGATTGTGACGAAATAATAACTTTTAAAAACTATGACGTCATTGCATTGTCTCAGAGACGCATAGAGGCATTTCATTGCGAGTTGCGACAGTGAATTTCGTTTGATAGTTACTGTATTTCAAGCATTGAATCATGGCTTTCTTTGTCTTCAACTGGACTAAAAGAGAATACATCCTGACAGTATTGGCTTTGGTGATGCTCGTCATAACTGTCAAGCACAGAGAGTATTTCTGTTGGTAAGTAAGCATTACAGAAGGAAAAATACACATGTCTTAACTGACGAAACGTATGTTCTATTTAATATTTAAGATGGAGAATGATTATGAGTTGAATAAGCTCTAGTATGTTTCACTCCTTTCTAAAGCAATATTTTTTCCTTCAAAATTTGGTTTGTTATATTCATCGTTTTCATTGATATAGTGAAGAAAAGCCATAAGTACTTATGAGAAGTTTGGCATCTGGCTTGGTTTTGTGGAGGAGCCAAAGCCGTGTCCAGAGCAGGAGGACCTCTACAATGTGAGTATGGGGTTAATTATAAAATTACAACTCATTGAATTATAGCACCAATTTAAGTCGTATTTATATAGGTACCATACTATAAATGAATATATTTGATGACTTCAAATTAATCAGTCTTATGGCATAGGAGTCCATCGACGACACCCACCCACCCTTCCTAAAAAAAAGTAAAGCCCCTGATGCATTTCTGAGCATCACAGGTTTTAGTTCATTAAATTATTTAGGTAACATGCACCCTTTCCGAGCACAGACCTTCAACTAAATGGTCATTTTTATGTTTTCTCAAATAATTAAATTTTTCACATTTTTCAAACAGATGGCCGTAGAAATGGGAGTTTCCTCTGTGGCTATACTTGCTTGTACCGCTATATCCAAGATGTGGTACTGGTCCACATCTTTATTTGGACGCCTAACTCAGACCATGAAGGGAGGTTTCCAGTACCTGATAGGTATGCATGGTAACGGATGTTTAATTAAGTCTGCATTTTTTTAAGTATAAACACTTGTAAATCTTAATGATATTTTTCTCTCTTGTCTTCTGAAGACCGTGTTCCATTTAAAAAGGCCACCACCGACACTTGTCGGGTGACTTCTTCGAATTACAAGTATTTCTTGTGAGTATACCCAAACATTTGTCTCATATATCGGATTAACTAGATGATATTAACCATGAGGGTGTCGTGATTACCAATATTTTATTTTTTCCCGTAGTTTCCGTAACGCCAACGAACAAAGGAAAATTATAATGGTGATGAGAGAGGGAGATCTGCGCGAGGAGATTTTTGTGTTTTCCCCGGAAAAAAAGAAGATGGAGTGCGTTTTGTCCTATAACAAATGGTGTCGTTAAATAATGGACTTTGTTATGTATATTATTGCAGTATTAGCATTTAAAAAGTAATTATCTATTGATCTTGATGTTAACTGTATAAGGGATATTTATTATCGAGTTTTTATTTATTTACAACATAAAGCAAAGCTGATACTAGTATTTAGATATAATTTAAGAAGAATAAATTTAATTGCATATATGAAAACTTGTTTTCTTTAACTCATTAACTACCATGTCATGTCGAAGGTGTAGGACAAACCTTAGAATTTTTAAGGGCCCACGACAATTTTGTTATCTATTCAATGCGGCCAGGTGCGGGTCCAGAAATTTTTTCTAAGGGGGGGGGGGGGTCACCCCGGTAAAAAAAAATCCAACCAAGAAATATCTTGAAAAGCAAAAGACAAACACAAAACAAAAAAGTAAAGTCCTTTCCTAAACCTGAAAAACCTATTTCGTGGGGATGGTATGGGGGGTTGTTAGTTGATGTCTTCTAAAGCTTCATCCATTGATTTTCATACCGACTAAACACGGATCCGCGTTTTCTAGGGGGTCTGCGTTTTCGAGGGGGGGATCCAAGGTCAGTTTTAGTTGGTTTAGTATATACATTTAATAACTCTTCAAATTCCAGGGGGATTCCGGACCCCCCGCCCCCTCTAGATCCGTGCATGCTTTGCCAATTTAATACTGATTTACATACAGGTTGATAGTGCATGTGAATGCTTCGCAAAAATGACATTTACACACGAAGAATAAAATTTGCATACATGTAAATTTTACACCTGCAAGTAAATGAGCTTTAGACATGCTTCAGATGCTGGATCTGGGCTGGGATTCATAAAACTTCTAAGATTATTCTTAAAAGTTGCACTTAAGTACTAAAAAAAATCTTAGCTAAGAAAAAATCTTAAGTATCAATTCATAAAAGTTCTAAGTACAATTCTTAGCTAAGTTTGAATTCTAAGAAAATTAGAACACTTAAGTTCAATCACCCTAGCAACGCATAGAAATTCCCGAACAAAAAAGAGCGCTCTTATGTGATGGGAGGTATTTTTTGTCAAATACAGTTTATAAATAGATCTAGATACAGACGAGAGATGGCGTCCGATGAAAAACGAGAAAAAAAGAGGAAAGCGAACTGGACACAGGATGAATGTTTGATTCTAGCCACCTTAGTAAATGAAAAGAAGCACATTCTGCGTTCCAAATTAGGGCCTAACCTTACATCTAAAATGAAAAAAGACACTTGGGAGAGGGTGACGGAGCAACTCAACGCGTCGTCAAGTACGCCGAGGACCGTCGAAGAAGTGGAAAAAAATGGCAGAATATCTTGTCAACAGCCAAATCTGAGATTTCCTCTTACAGAAAGGAGGCAACTGCCACAGGTAACACTAATTCAAGTTATATATGATTCGACCTAATTGACGAACTTTGCAGATGTGAAGCGCAATAACATGAATAGATAGTGGTGTAGATGTACGTATGTAAAGTGCCTTGTATCATGGCTGTGGTGTTTTTCCTTTGAAGTAAAGTGTACAATGGAGATACACCTATGGACGGAGCCAGCAAAACTGTGCCGTGTAAATAAATTATTGAACACCAAGGCGATTTCAACATTTTAAATGAGGCCTACATGTATTTTGAAGAAATACAGAATAAAATAGGCTTTGATATATACAAAGACAAAATTTCTGAAAATGAAATAAAGGTCTTTCACATTATAAATTACAGTGCACATGTATCCCAAAATACAAAATGTTTTTACAGCGTTTTTGCTCATGCCACAGCTCTCGAATATGTCAAATGATCAATGGGTATCTTTTTTTTCCTTGACTTTCAATTAACACCTGAATTTCCCTTCATCAACTTTGAATTTTTCATCCTTGAAATCCGAAGGTTTTCTTATGAATTTCATTAACAATCTGTTTTTATATTAAGTTGGAGAGCTGCAATCCGACGTTCTTTCTCATGAACACGCACATAAAATGTGCAAATTAAAAAAAATACTGGCGGGAAGGAGAGAATATCCATGCGGTCACCTGACAAAAACTAAATTTTTTTTATTGGTGTAATTAAAAATCATGCTTGAAAATTTGGGACAGAACAGTTATTGACGTTTTGATTGGCCATGATACAAGAAAGTTATTGAATATTTATTATGGTGTATCCTGATTTATTTGGACGAAGGGGCGGAGACTCGTGCTTCGCACTCGTCACCGCCCTTCGTCCAAATAAATCAGGATACACCATAATAAATATACAATAACTATTACTTGGCATTTGGATCAATTGGTATAAATTTATATTTTTTGTAGATGTACATGCATGGCAATGTGTTATTTGCATGATTAGCTTATCAATTTCTGTATTACCACAGGCGGAGGACCTCCCTCAAAACCTCTCAGTGCTGTAGCAGAGACAGTACAAATGGTAATTGGGGAAACAAATTCTATAATAAGTGGGATAGATGGAGGCATTGACTCTTCACAGGTTCTACATCTTTTTACAGATGAAAATGTTTGGTAAATAAAAGTAATGTTCTTCCATTACCATATACTATACATTGTATAATCAATTTTAGTTTCTCAACTCGATCAGTATGCATGCAGGTATGAGAAATTAAAAATTTTAAAAGGGTCTAGAAGAAAAGTGTTTGATTCTGCTTTCAGGCTAAAAACAAATATATGGTAATGAAGAGTAGGAAATCAATTAAGAAATATTTCCAGGACTTCTTTACAAAAACAAAACTTCTAAGTAGCACTGATGACAAAAGAAATAGTTCTTTAAAACCTTTCTTAAATTCAGATCTTCACTGAAAAAAGCAGTAAAAAACATTAGGGTCAGCGTTATAAATTAGGGTTGTTTGGGAAAGCAGAAAGAAAGATAACTTTCTTCTAGGAAATAAATTGTGAATTGAATATAAGGTAAAAAAATTTTTAGGAGAATAAGGAATAAAATGTTTTGGAAGTCATAAACATTATTTTCAATGAACATAAGACTTTCCTTAAAAAAAAAATAAACAATGTGAATAATTATAAAAGTTGATGGTCTTTTAATTGTTTCAGTTCCATTCAGTTTTTACAAGAAGCAAGTTCCAACAATCATCAGCATGTAGCATCAGCATCAACTAGCATTCTGCCACTATCCCCTGGTTTGTTATCACCAACTCCTACATCAACTTCGCCATTGCCTGTGGTGACACAAAAGTCACCTTTGATGCCCCGCACAATAGCACCAGTAATGTCAAGAAAGCCATCTCAAAGCAAGCAAGATTTGATTGAGGAGTTGACTGTAAAGAAGCTAAAATTAGAGATAGAATATTTCAATTTGAAAGTAAAGGCCCTCCAACGTAAACTGGAAGAGTGAGGATTGAAAATTTTGAAGTGACCTTTTACAATAAAGGAGGAATACTGAACCAAAATGTTATATAATGAATCTTTAAAGACACTATCTCTCTTTTTAATTCAGTTTTATTTCAATCTGGATTGGTTCAAATTTTAAAAATATCTTATATGTAATCAAACCATTTTAGCTCACCTGAGCTGAAAGCTCAAGTGAACTTTTCTGATCACCTGTTGTCCGTCGTCTGTCCGTCCGTCCATCTGTAAACTTTTCACATTTTCAACTTCTTCTCAAGAACCACTGGGCCAATTTTAACCAAACTTGGTACAAAGTATACTTACCTGAAAGGGAGCTTAAATTGTTAAAATAAAGGGCCAAGTCCAAGTGTGGTATTCCTTCTTATATTCCAGTATATAAAGAAATCTATACATACTTTTTATCTCACTTGAGCTGAAGGCTAGAGTGTTTCTGATCGAAGAGTGTCCGGCATCTGTCCGTCATTTGTAAACTTTTCACATTTTGGACTCCTTCTCAAGAACAACAAGGCCAATTCCAACCAAACTTGCAACAAAGCATCCATGGGTGAAAGGGATTCAAGTTTGTTTAAGTGAAGTGGCACACCCTCTTTCAAGTTGAGATAGTTAAGAATTTGTGAAAAATTAAAGGCATCTTTTTGAAATTTTCTTCTCAAGAACCATTGGGCCATAAAAGAATAAGAAGAAAAAAGACTTCATTGAAGGTTTCATTTCATAGTGTAGATTCAAGTTTGTTCAAATCATGCCTCATCCCTAGCCCCCTTTTTTGAAAAGGGGGGGGGGGGGGGGGTGAGGGTTGGACTACTATATATTTGATCTATTCAATAACCGATTTCTGCTTTTCTCTAGCCAAAGTCCACAGGTGAGTGATGTGGCCCATGGGCCTCTTGTTAAATACTGTGCATATTATTGTTGTACCTATCAGATTTTAAATGATATTTATTAAGATATAAAATTTTATATTTGACCTGAAATAAGTCAAGATAATGGCTCTTCACATGTTAAGTGTGTTCATGAATATTAAATATTAATTGTTGACAGTTTACTTTGTTCATTTGTGATGTCAAAAGTGAGTTTCAGCAAACTGCTGTCTGTACAATGTGCCATTAATGTTGTTGCCTCGAGCAGCACCATCATTTCCTGCTTGCATGTGATCCTGAGCATAATCATCACTATCGTCTTCATCATTGCTGTCATCATCATCATCATCAGCAGGAATTGGAATTTGTCGATCTTTACAAATATTATGGAGGACCGCGCATGCTATCACAACCTGACATGCCTTCTGAGGCGACAATCGTATCTCTCCATGCAGAACATGAAAGCGGCATTTTAACTGGCCTATCCCCCTTTCAACAATGCTCCTAGTCCTTTTATGTGCACTATAAATAATTAAAGCTATTTAACTCACAAGGAGATTTGATATATGTTGCCATATATACTGTACATGTATTATGTGTATTTTTTTATTACCGATGTTTTAAGTACTGATTCATCTCTGTTTTAAGTCATGTTAAATGATTACAACGAAGAAACCGACACAGAATGGTGGACTACCAAATTTTTTCTTTGAATGCTACAGCAAATTTTTATTTGGTCACACATGTAATTTGGAACCATAAATTATAGCTTCGTTTATACATTTACTTTATATTGCTGTGTATAGAAATGTAGTCTATGGCTCAATCATAGCATCCCTATGCTATTAAATTCATAAATATTATTGTGCCTTTTGGTGAAAAAAAAAACCTCTAGTGTCTCAGGCCAAAAATTTCCAAATTAAATGTGGGAGACAGAAATTTTTTTTTTAACAAGAGCTTTCTCCTTTTTTTTGTGTTAAAAGTTATGATATTATACATTTTTATACTCCACCTACTCATAAAACTCGAATAAAAGTATAACAAGAATGGGAATGTATAGGTGACAAGGGAAATAACTTTTTTCTTTTAAAATAAAAATGGCATATTGAGTTATTCCCCTTACAATGATCAGTGCCAATGCTGTGGGGCCCGAGAAACTAAAGATTTGTTTTTGTTAACCCTATCTTGGCTTTTTCATATATTCAATGTATTATACATACTTGTTGTAATTTGTCTGTGGCCCAGGCTGAGGAATCCTAAATGGTGTTAGTAGCCATCTACGAGATGGGTAGCCACTGTCACCCAACAAATGTGTGTGAACAGGAATGTGGCCATTTTCGAACAGGACTCGAAGCCCACTTTCATTTAATATGCGCGCATCATGGGTGGAACCGGGCCATTTTGCAACAATGTCAATTAGTTTGTATTGGGTATCAAAGACAACTTGCACATTCAAACTATGGTAATGATGTCTATTGACAAACTCATTCTCATTGTTTCTTGGAGCAATTATTTGAACATGGGTGCCATCTATGGCACCAACAATCCCAGGGAACCCTGCGATCTGAAAAAAATGTTCCTGATTTCGTCGAATTGCATTGGGTGATGTTGGAAATTTAATAAATCTACGCACCATTCGGTCTGATGACAAACTTCTTATGGTGCAAGACACGGCTCTCGATACAGAAGATTGAGAAACTCCCATATCATCCCCATTACAAAGCTGCATCTTGCCAGTTGCTAGGAATCTTAGGGTTAATAAAACCTTTTCTGTAGATGTGAGTGCATGATTCCTAATGGATGCAGATCTAATTTCATTTCCTATTAACCCTTCAACAAAGTTTATTCCAGCAGAATCAAGTCTGAACCTTTTAACCAACTCCATGTCTGAATATTCATTGAAATAATCTCTTCTTTCCCTGAAATTTCTTCTTTGAGCCGCCATTTTGTTTAGAATTAAGAAAGAACTTAAGAAATACTTATATACTTAAGACACCTCTTTACTTCCCTTAACTTTAAGTGAATACTTAAGCACTAAGTTAGTTTATGAATCACGCTTAAGTATTTCTAACAAATTTAAGTAATACTTAGAGTACTTAAGTAAAAAATCTATAACTTAAGTATTTTCTTACACTTAAGAATAATCTTAGAAGTTTTATGAATCCCAGCCCTGACCTATATTTTAGAGATGAGTGACAGTGTTAAAATTATTCCCGCTAAAGTTTTTTGGAGCAGTGTAAGCCCTACCTGGACAAACTTGCGTGGATGATGCATCTATGGATGCACACTACCAGACTTGCTTCGGATGCTGAATCTGAGCTACATTTAGTGAAGCAGGTTCATTCCCAAGTTACTACAACCCTATTGGACCGATCTTGCATTAATTATGTATGTTACTAGGAATGACCACTCTACCAGATATGCGTTTGAAGCTGGATCTGACCTACATTTACAAGGTTATTATACAGTGAAAGTTTTTGGTACTGGTCCATTTTAATTTGAAGTAACTATAGACTGATCCTACTTTAAAAATTGGACCCAACTTGTGCACATGTGTCTAGGGATGCACTTTATCAAAACATTTGCTTGGTGTGAAGCTTACTCTTACCTATAGATACGTGTATATAGCATTCGTCGAGGTGAGCTTTGTAATTAATCATGCAACCAGTTTGCAAGATGCGCAAGAGTAATGAAGTATAGATATAAAAATATTTAAACTTTTCAGGTTTTGATTTAACTTAGGCCTTAACGGTATCAATTCATTCCTTATCCATATAAAATTGATTGAAATTAGTTCAATAGTTTAAAAGAAGACTCTTAATTAGGGATGGCAACGAATATTCGAACATTCGAATATTCATTCGATGAGTTGATATTCGAATATGAATTTAAGATTCGAATATTCGGTGATTTTCAGATTTCATAAGAAGAGGTACTGTGATTACTAAATTTTGATTAGAACAGTGCTGAAATTTACTAGCGATCAATTTCGATCGCCTCATTTCTTCTACTTATTTCTTATCTTATAAATCTACTAAATTACATGTATTTTGTTTTGAGTAAGGTGTTAAAGAATTATACAATAATACTTTATGTATAATACAAAACGTACTTTCATAGTTTTTATTAGTTAGATACGATCGTATCTAGAATCGAGGACAACAAATGAAATCTAAGAATGTCTAAAAGTCGTGAAGAGTATACTTATCAAAATAAAATTAATTGATCATTGAATGAATGTCAGATAGAATTAATCTGTAATTAATATTGTAAAGGGCTTAATTTCAGAATAAATGTGTAAATTACTTGATTATCTCGGGTTGTACATAATCCTGAATTTTATATTCATTATCGGGAAATTAGTTAATTACCTAGGAAAATTGTCTATGGAAATATTTGTTTACATTGTATCAAAGATTAAAACAATATCTCTTATCAGGCAGATAATTGTAATTTATTACACGTATTGAAATCCGAACAGTATACCGTTACGACTATCTTGCCTTTTGTACATGTAAGACGACTGGTTTCTCAGTTGGAGATACTATAAATACACGTTTCATTTGTTAAAATTATACTTTTCTACATTTAAATCAATTATTTATTTCAAACATTGACAAATATCAAATGGAATTTCTTATTGTACACCTACAAAAGTCTTCATACAATTTTACTTCCATTATAAGTATACCTACGCTAAACCTTTCATGAGAGTAGGATGATGCATATTTAAAATAAAACAGATTTTATTTATTTAATCGAATATTCGAATATATTCGAATACTTTCATTGAATATTCGAATATGAATTATGGACAAAATTGACATCCCTACAGTCTTAATAGTTTCTAAAATTAACAGACGCACAGAAAGATGACGTTGTGAATACAGGGAAATTTTTCCTAGCTTGCTTGTTTTTTTGTTTTTACACCCCTTTCGACCTCGTCGTCAGTGGGCGAGTTCAACACAGATATTTTAGCACAACTGGGACTGGACAAAGTTTACCTTGCTTACAGTAGCAATGACCTAAAAGAAAATGTGGTCACCATAAATATAGTTTAAGTCAGAAAAATCTATATACTTTCTCCACTGTCAGTACAGTCTGTATCGATATATTTGTTAAAAAGTCATATGTTTAAACTAAACTGATGAATAGAACTTTTTTTTTATTTAGAACACCACTTTTTGTAAAACTAGATATACTTTCTCAGCATCAATATATAATTTCCTAATGACTTACACTATGGAAGGCAAAATTCCGAGAGAGTTGCCGTTTAAACACGTGCACATTTGTATATATTTAAAATCAGAATGCACAAGTACCTCATTTGTAAGTTTACTATCTTATTTTTCACAATTTTATTTAAACAAATGACTAAACATCTAAACGACTTGAATTTATATTCATTTAATAAATAGCATTTGAAAGATAAGGAGATTTAAGCTATTTGGTACAATGTACGGGAAGGCGAACACGAGTTATCGATCTTTAATGTGCGGATTATTTTCTCTCGTACATTAACCATAACGATTATATATGTAAGTTATGTTATCTGATAATTTTTTTTTTACATTCCAATAGGATTTTCTTCAGATTATTTATGGAAGCAACTCAACGTAAAACAGGCTTAAAACTTTCATATAGAAAATAAAAAAGACTATAAATTGTCAAATAAATCTGAAGCATTCCGTTTTTGGAGTTTAGGATTAAGACCAAGGTCTGGGTTTGTGTGATATGGGGATTAGATAAACATATACGAGTTAGATAAATATGAATCAAACTAATGTTGTAGTTCATGGTCATCTCTTTTATGACGAAATGTCAAGTTTATTTGATGAATTTCAGCAGAAGAACCAAATGCGATTACATTGGATCATGTTATCATGAAAAGGATATCAATGATGAGTTAATAGCCATCATAAATTTAAAGAAAAAACTAGAAATATGTTCATAGTACATAAATGCCCCGCCCAGGGTTTATTAATAATACAAAATGAAAAGAAAAGCACCTTGCTTCTTTGTTTAGGGTAAATGAGGAAAAGTGAGGTCAAGGTCACAGGAAAGGTTAAGACACATTTGAATAGCTCTTACCAATTTTTATTAGTTTATGAAGTTTGATGAAAATATCTTGAATAGTTTCTTTGAAATTAAGTTTTAAACACAACAAGCAAATTCAAAGAATTGTGGTCCCCCGCTTTCGGTGTCTTAGTGGATGGGATGTCATTATTTATGCCATATTGTAACTTTCTTGTTTGTGTGTCCTGCATTGTCTATTCATCATACAAAAGACATAAATTATTGAATTAATAACAGGTATTGCAAAGATTATAGCTTCTTAAAACTACATCAAACTTCATGATCCAGGTCATGAAGTCAAATATAATACAACTCGAAACAAGTAATGCACATGTGAAAAATAAAATCAAAAACCAGAGTATACAATCGGAAAGTTCTTGAAACAGGTAATGCACATGTCATATGTAAATGCCATATCTTCTCTAATTCAAAAATTATCAGCAATGTTAAAATTTTTGAAAATTAGGTCAAACTTCAAGGTAATGGGGTTAAAACTTCAAGGTAATGGGGTTAAAAATCATAGTACATTTGGAAATGCACGTGTCAAATATGAATGCGTATCTTCGCTCCTTCAAAAGTTAGCCACACTAAATTAGGTCAAATTTGAAAGTCAAGGTCACGAAGTCAAATATCCTAGCACATTCTGAAACATTTCGACGCAAGTAATGCACTCCTCAAATATGAACGCCCTTATCATATGACATTTAAAAGTAATGACCAAAGTTCAAATTTTTGAAAATAAGGTCATACATGAAGGTCAAGGGGTCAAAAATCATAACATGCTCGGAAACGTCTTGTCACAGGTAATGCACATGTCAAATATAAAAGCCCTATCTTTTCTCAATCAAAAGATATAAGCAAAAATAAAATTTTTGAAAAGTAGGTCAAACTTCAAGGTCAAGGGGTTAAAAATCATAGTATATTTAAAAAGGCTTTGTCACAGGTAATGCACATGTCAGATATGAAAGGTTTGATAAACATATCTTGATTAGTTTCTTTGAAACTGAGCAAACGCAATGTGTGACAGAGGGAAGGATGGAAGGACGGAACACAGGCACTTGGGGTATGGACACCCCCCCCTTTTCCATTTTTTTCTTTTTAAATCTGGGTTCGAGTCACCTTTTTCCTATTATTGTATTCTAATATGCACTATATGTTATCAATAATGTAACTCTTTTGTTTCTATAAGCTGTTTTTAAATATATCGTTTTCGACTGATACATAAAAAGAGAGAAGGCTTGCAACTCTTTTCTCGTCGTCTGCCTCACCTCGCTTAAACTTCGCCTGATTATTTATCTAAAGCATAAGAACACATGGAATATGCATACGTCAATAAATTTGTTACACTTTCTTCTTCCTTTTCATATTTCCATTTAATTTTTATGTGTCAGTTTAAAAAATCTTTTATAGAAACAAAAGAGTTACATTATTGATAACATATAGTGCATATTAGAATACAAAAATAGGAAAAAGGTGACTCGAACCCAGATTTAAAAAGAAAAAAAATGGAAAAGGGGGGGGGGGGTGTCCAAACCCCAAGTGCCTGTGGGTGTAAAGACGAATAATAGATGATGAATAAGTTCGAATCGTAGATGACTTGGATAAACTTAATGAAACTTTTCAGAAATGCGGATCATTAACTCTAGATGTTCATGAAATATTTTGATTTTTTGTAAACTCAGCACCGTTGCCATGGGGAAAAATTGTCAACGAATGTTCTCACGGTTGGCTTGTACAGTCTTTCTGTAAATTCACAATACACATTTACATTTACGATTTTTTAAACTGATCCATTAATTGCCATGGAAACAGTTGGACAAACTTTTTCACACAACGAGCGAGTTAAATAACATGTACAGTTCGAGGTTT